CTCTTCTCTCAGTTTTTTGGGGCTTTTGCTAAAGTTTATATATGCAAACTGTTTACTTCTATGGTTCATTTGAATTATCCTATTATTGGTTTACATTTTTATTTTAGTGATTTAAACGAAGTCTATTTTTAGCAGGTGCACTTGTATTTAAACATTGTATGTTATAAATGACAGAGAATTTGTGTGGCATATATGTATTACGTTTATTTATTTGTGTATCTCTTTAAGATCTGATGTCTCTATGTCAATAACTTGCACTTTATAAATAGTCCTCCCCATCTCTATGACTATGCATGTCTCTAGGGTTAAATGTATTTAGAAGGGGCTTCTACTGTGCACATCTGAAACAATAAAGCTTTATGAGAATGCTGACATCATCAATGTGTAGCCGATCTTTATTATTCAGCCTCTCAAGTAATGTGGTAAGGTTTCCTATACTGCTTAATTTACCAAAAGGTTCATTAAATATAATTTTAAATAGGAGATGATTCATAGTAGAGCTAAAAGGAGCTAAAAGGAGAGAGGTAGATTTAAACTCACTCTGCAGTCAGGCATAGCACTGTCTAAAGATTGACAAACGTCTCATCAATAGTGATATTGGTATTTCTTTCTCGTCTATTGAGGGGCTCGGAAAGTCTGTCACCTTCAGGTTATATTGCCACCTACAGGTGAAACTCGAATAATTAGAATATCGTGCAAAAGTAATTGCAGTAATTGCTGAAAAAGGGGCCCAAACCAAGTACTGAGTACATATGCATGCTTGTACCTTTCAGAGGTCCGATATTGTTCTATGTACAATCCTTGTTTTATTGATTGCATGTAATATTCTACTTTTTTGAGATTGTAGATTTGGGTTTCTTGGGGTTTCCATGAGCTGTAAGCCATAATCATCACAATTATGACAAAACTTTGAAGACAGTTGTCCCCCTTTGTATATAGGGGAAGCAGGAGCTTGTCTCAAAAGAGGGTTCTGGGAGAAGCTAGAGAGATGTAGGGATAAGCCACACATGCATGCTTTCCCCTTTTGGAGGTAGGTGAGTAGCCCTCAGGCCTGTAGTCTGGGAAGAGGGCATGCAGTTGGAGAATTTCTTCTGTACAACATCGTGAGCTCTGCATCACCCCTCCTATGGAACCAGACAAAAGGGAAACGTTATGTATAGACTGAAAAGTAATGCTTTGCGAACTCGGCCACATTTGTGAACATAATTATTACTATATTTTTAGACCTGGAAACATATCTTTCAAAATCTTTTAATTTTTATAGTGAACAAAAGTAGAGTCACAATACAAACATTAAAGTTTTGGCAAAATCAGAGTGCCAGGCATTCTCCCAAATCAATACAAACATATAATATATGGGGGACAAGAACATAATCAAGTACAGGATATTTCAGCAAAATGTAGTGTTAGATCCACACATAGGGAAAAGTTACCACCAACATTCTAGCTTTGGTTGTATCCAATCAAGGATGAAAAATTAGGTAATAAAACATATAGAACAGCATGTAGTAGAGTGCATTCATATAGTATTCCCAATATCCAGAGGAATGAGAGAGTATCCAGCCATCATGTCATTGTATAAAAGAGCTCAATATCATGAGCTAAAAGGGAAAAAAGAGAAATAACTAGCAGTGAGAGAGAGAAAAAAACAAGAAAGAGGTAAGAGAAAGGAATAAGTATATTAAAAGGCGATGAGAAAGAAAGAGATGCTCCAGAGAGTACAACCCATCCCTACGTATATAAGAAGCAGCTTCAAAAGGCCTCCAGCACACCAGTATAAATCATCCAGGGAGTCCAGATTAGTTGAAACCTTCTTTCGGTGTCTCGAAGGATACTAAGTAAAAGCAATAAAGCGCCACAGGCAAACACACCTCAATGGGAAATCCTCTTGGGCATGCTGCAGGATGCTGCCCCAAAGCAGCCGGGAAAGCTGTGGGATCTAGGGAGTAAGCACAAGGGGGGCGCCTTTCCTGGTGCAGGTAAATTTTATTTCAATAGTCATACAATAAAATCAGAAAGGTACTCACAAACATAAGTGACGTTGACGCGTCTCGAAGGATACTGTGCAACTTTTCATGAACCATTATCCATGACAAGCTTGACGTATGTAAACGTATGTAAACGAAACCTTTGGAGTGCTCCAGGCTTTAGTTATAGTGATTTTAGCAGGC